ATCATCTCCCTGGACCTGCTTGAGATGCATCTGTGGGTGCATGACAAGGTACGGTTGGCCTTCCTGACTGTGTAGTGGCTAGCAGCAGTCATTTGCTTGGAGGAGAAGGGGGAAGAACAGAGGTGGTGGATTGGGGCGGGGAACTTGTGCCTGGACAGCTGATGCTTTGGGACCTGGGCTGGAGTCTCATGCGGGCCATGATGGGAGGTTTCAAGCACCCCTTCCCCTGGCCTCAGCTGTGCTAGCCCTGGGCTGGGGCCTAGCCATGCCCCCTCCGCTCAAGCACAGATGGGGGAAAAGTCTTGGAGGGCTTCTCTCGTCCCTTCCTTTTGGCAGTGGATGGCAAGAGGTGTGCTCTAGCACCTGCCTGAGCCACTGCAGGCATGTGGCTGCATCTCCTGAATCAAAAGTTCACTTGCTTTTCAGTTTAAACTCTGCAGCTTAAATGAACCTTCAAAGACTAAATTGATTCAGCCTCAGGCTTTTTGACTATCTGTACTTAGCCAAAAGGTTTGCATCCATTGTGAAAAGCTTTAAATGAACATCCAACTAAATCGCCTAACTTCATTTAGATTTTCCATTTTCATTAGGAATGATTCATGGCATAATTAAAGATACAGTTTACAAATGGTCTTTCAGTTCTAGCCAAGGGTTGTGTCAGCTTGATATCAAATGTGTGTTCTGTTAGAGACTTTACCAGCAATGAGAGAGGCTTCAGAATCAGACACACAGATCCTTCCAAATTCCAACTTCGGTTTCTAAAATACCTATAAAATATTCAGTATCTCAGACTGTCTTTTTGTTTTTATCTTTTCCCCCTGCAGCACCAAATCTCTGACCAATAATTATTCTTTCTTCTTATACAGAGACCCTCTAAAGCTAAAGCAACTACAGAACCAAATTCGTCTGGAACAAGAAGGTGGCCAGCGGTATCATCATCAACAGCAACTTGGTGCCCATCCAAATCCTCCCTCTTCTCCTTCTTTTCCTCCTCCACCGTCATTCCAGGAGCTTGAGTCCAGTCAGTCTGTCACTTCTCCTGTGCAAATGAGCGTTCTCAACTCCCACACTTCTCCCAACATGCAGTCATCCAGCTCCTTCAACTATGCCCGGCCAAAACAGTTCATTGCTGCTCAGAACATCAGTCCTGCCTCAGGTTATGTGACCCCTTCATCTGGATCATCCACGTCCAGTCTTCCATCTCCAATTTCTCCAACCAGCTCTCAGAAACAATTTGGCCGAGCACCTGTTCCTCCTTTCTCCCAGCAGTTTGCCCCAGAAGGGGAGTACCCCTGGTCTCCTTCATCTCCCTCGCCCCCGCCACCACCTCCACCAGTCTTTAGTCCAACTGCAACATTTGCAGTTTCTGATTCCTTTCCACTTCCTCCTCCTCCACCCCCTCCTCTCCCTAGTTTGGTTTCCTCACCTTCCCACAGCCTCTCTCCAACAGCTAGATTCTCTAACTCCAGCCAGTCTCCAGCAGCTTTCCTCAGCTCCATGCTACCATCCCAGCCACCACCCATCCCTGTCAACGCACTAGGACTTCCAAAAGGTGTCACACCTCCGTAAGTATACACAGCCGATGACCTTCTTACGTTTTATTTTATCGTTAATGAAGTGTGTTGCTTCTCTTTCATTTTTAGACCCTCGCAGGCCCCGTGTCCTCTTGTTATCTACTGTTTGAGGAAATAGACTAATTCATAAAACTATAAACACAGGGCAGGGAAATGAGCTATTTAAGCTAAAAGAATGTTGGCACAGGGACAAATATGTATAAACATGAATGACTCGACTAGATAGGAGACAAAGGTTTTAACCATCACAGGAAGTAGGCTCTGGAACATCTCTTCTAATAAGAATGAGGGCAAGAAACTTAACCTGCTTTAACATGGAGTTTGGTAAGTTTATGAAAGGAATTATATGACAGGACTGCATGTGATATCCGAGGACAGGACCTTACGATCCAGAAAGTCCCTTCTGGTTCTGTGTGCTTATATAATCAGTGCAAGGAATTGCAAAGAAGTATCCTTTTAGCCAGAATTATAATCACTTTGATAAAATAATAGTCTCCAACTCCTGTTACTTCTGTGCATGGACAAGAGTCAGGGAAATAACCATTGGTCAGAAATCCTGAAACTGTGTTCCACTTGCATTGACTTGCAAATCTTTCATGATACTTAAGGCTTAAAAGTAGAAAACAAAGTTGTCAGGATGCCATACTGACTTCTGGTTAGCACCTTCCTAAGGATCTGTAGAAAAAAAGGGCTTGGTGCTGGGGGTACAGACGAACAGTGTGTAGAGAAAAAAAGAAAATAACATCAGCTTCATATATTTACTCCCCCCTTTTGTCTTTCCTCCAAGCTAAAATATTGTTTGAAGCTTGCCAAAAGCCCAGCATAGTTCAGTTTGTCTTTCCACTGGCACTAGACTCTCATTCCATCCTTAGAGAACAAAGTGAAATGCTAAAGAACAGAAATGGGAATAGATGGATAGTAGGCTTATTTATAAGTTTGTCTAAAAGGTTTTCTAAACATATCTGTAGTATCTAGGTGACTTGCTCAGGTGCAGATTTGTTGCAGTAGGAACTTCTGTTATTTCAATCCAAGGTATGTGGCGGAAGACCAGCTATCAAAGTAGTAAATCAGGCATAGGCTTTAAAAATAGCATTTATCTAGACTTCTGTCCTCTACCTCATTATAAACTTGGGCTACAAAGTAAACAGAATTGAGGAGAAAATGAATAGTATCATTCACTCTTGTAGTCACTTTAGTAGTGGTTTCCTGCCTTCCTGTCTCCTTCTTTCCACTGGCTCAGTTCCTCTAGTGATATCTAGTTCTAGCAGTCACATTACCTTACTATTTTGAGTATTCATTCAAAACAGTTTGGCAGATTGGCCTCCCACAAATGTCTGAAGCTATCCTTTGTTTACTAGCACTCTGTGTGGCCCTCTGTTTGCAAAGGTGCTTCTTACAGCACTCCTGTCACCCACTCAGGGATGTTATTGACTGTATTTGTAGAGTAAGAAAAGTATTTGTAATGTTAATTATTACATTCAAAGACACTAAACGATATATAGCATAATTAAAAAAATAATCCTTCTCCCTCCCTGATATGTCATCTTTTCTTCTTTTCCCCCATCTTTTTTTTATTACATAAGTTATACCTTTCCTTTATTTGTTTCTTGGAGTGTCTGCTTCCCACTTTGTCTTGTTTTTCTTTAATGTTGAACACTCTTCTCTCTCTGTTTCTTCCCGTGAAAGAATCAGGCATAACATTCTGCCAACATAAGCTACATCAATCCACATGGTTTAAATTCCATCAGTTTGAGTCCATCGTGGGGGATGGCTGTTAGCTAAAGGCAGAAAGGCTGTTACTACACAGTCCCCACTGTCTAGCTATGAAGTACAGTAGACTTCCATATGAGCTACCACAGTATAACCCTATTATTTCTCTGTTCTAAATCCCAGTGTAATTAGCATCAGTGTACAAAAATGATGTAAGTTGGGCTTCTGCATTTATCTCTCCATGCTCAAAAAGAGCTCTGTAGCCAATTCAAACTTTCTGAGTGGTTATAAATATTATTATTCTTATTATTATTCTTTAGCCTTATATTCTTCATGTAATCTAAAGAACAGTATAGAGATGAGTAGATTTTCTGAATTCAGCTCCATGCATAGGTAGAAGTGGGGCCAAACAGGCATGGGTGAACCGGGCATCCACCTGGGGCCTGGACAGAAAGGGGGCCCAAAAATGGTAATTTTTTTTCTGTTGTCCAATTTATTATTATCATTATCTCTGGCGAAGGGGGGCCCAATACTAAAAGTTTGCCTGGGGCCACCAGGAGTCTAGGTATGGCACTGGTTAGAGGTGGATCCAGAGGGGATGCAGTGGCTCAGTCACATCCTCCCTTTTGGACCACACTATGACAGTAGCAGCTAGGGACATTTTTAAGGTCCCCAAAGCAGGTAAGAAATCCCTGTCCCTCCT